AAAGATTTTATTTATTTATTCAACAGAGAAAGAGAGACAGTGAGAGAGGGAACACAAGCAGGGGGAGTGGGAGAGGGAGAAGCAGGCTTCCCGCCGAGTGGGGCTCAATCCCAGGACCCTGGGATCATGACCTGAGCGGAAGGCAGACGCTTAACGACTGAGCCACCCAGGTGCCCCGGTAACACTTTTTTAATGAAAAGTTCTATGGATTTTGACACATATTTAGATTCAAGAAAACCCTGCCAAAACTGGGACACAGAACATTTCCACCAACCCAAAAGTTCCCCCAGCTATCTGCCTGTAGTCACATCCTCACCTCACCCCAAACACCCTGGCAACCACTGATCTGTTCTCCACAATTATGGCTTGATCTTTTTCGAGAATTTTTCAGAATGCCAAATAAATGGAATCATGGTATGTAACCTTGGTTCTTTTGCTCAGCGTGGTGTATTTAAGATTCACCCATGTTGTGTTTATCAGCAGTTTGTTGCTTTTTGCTGTTGCATAGTAGTCTGGTGTGCAAGTTTCACAGTTTATTTACCCATTCACCTGTTGAATAGTTTTGGGGGGATGTCCAGCTTTGGACTATCACAAATAAAGCTGCTGCAGGTGTTCACGTACAGGTTTTTATATAAACCAAGTTTCATTTCCTTAGGCTATAAACCTCGCAGTGGGATTGTTGGGGGTCAAATTTATATTTAACTTTATGAGAAATCACCATGTCATTTTCCAGAGTAGCTGTACCATTTCACATTCCCAGCAGAAGTGTATAGTGTTCTAGTTGCCCCAAGTACTTGTCAGCACTTGGTATTGTCAGTATTTTAGCCATTCAAATAAGTATGTAAGTAATGGTATCTTATCATGTTTTTAATATGCATTCTTCTAATGGTTAATGATTTTGATTATCTTTCTATGTGCTTATTTGCCATTCTTATATCCTCTTTGGTGAAGTGTCTATTACAGTTATTTTCCCATATTTTAATTGTGTTATTTGTTTCTTGCTGTTGAGTTTGAGAGTTCTTTGTATATTCTGGATACAAGTCTATTATGGAGTATGTAGTTTTCAGATATATTCTCCTAGTCCATAGCTTGTCTCTTCATACTCATAACAGTATCATTGGAAGAACAAAATTTTTAAGTTTGATGAAGTCCAGTTTATCAGTTCAGTTTTTTTTTATGAATCTTCTGTTTGGTTTTATCTTTAAGACCTCGCTGCCTAACCCCAGTCACAAGGATTTATCCTGTGTTTCTTCTAAAACCTTTATTGTTTTATGTTTTTCAGTTAGACCTATGATCTATTTTGAGTTAATCTTTATGTAAGGTGTGAGCTTTATATTAAGGTTTCTTTCTTTCCTTATGGATGACTTATTGTTCCAATACCCATTAGTTGAAAAGAATATCTTTCCTCCACCAAACTGTGTTTATGCTTTGTCAAAGATCAAATGGCTGTATTTGTGTAAGTCTGTTTCTGGAGTTTCTATTTTGTTCCATTGATCTCTGTGTCTGTATCTTCTATCTGGCTCTCTTTTAACTAAAAAATAGTAATAAATAAACCCCAGAAATATTTGTCATGTGTCATGAGCAATAGAGGGTGGATGGGGGAGAAAGCAGTCCCTTGTGGGCCTGAGAACTAGCAGCAATTGATCCTCTCTATCACCTATGTCCTGCCCCCTCCTAGCTCAGACCTGATGGAAACTGAGCTGAATAGATCAATAAAGTTACCAGGTAACTTCATGGTGTAACCAGTTAATAAAACCAAATGTCTTCTTCCCTAAACACTTTCCTCACTCTCAGTGTGTTCTTCGTGGTGTCAACTGAAAAATATGCCAGGCTCACATAACTCAGTGCAGAGGGAAGAAGCTGTACCCTGACTTAAGGAAAAGTTTCAGATGAAAATACAACTAACTCTGCTTCCCATGCAGGGAGATACAAAAATGGAAACATCTCTTATGACTTAATTTGAAAATAAATTTCATCTAAGCCATAGCAGGAGTTTTATTACATCAACAACTGGTCTCTGTTAAAAAGAAGTTTCTGGGTTACCTTTCAGCATGCGCCCTTTGCATGAGGAAAATCCAGAATGACATTCCAGTGCACAGAAATATAGATGGGTGGACACACAGAGAGATGGAAACATTTCTAGATAGTCTCCTTTCCTTTCCCCTAGCCCAAACTGGGATCATTTGATATATACTATTTTGTAACTAAAATAGGTTGTCTTTGCTGCATAGAAAGCTGGGGTTGATAGCACTAATTATTTTTCATTATTTCTTTTGATCACAGGTGATAGCAGTGGCAGAGTCATTGGTGTTAAGTAAACACATGTTTTCTCCCTTCAGGCTGATGTTGGAGGACTTCTCCTCTTTCTGGGTGTATTAGGATAATAATTGCAGCTAAGAAATAATGTACTGTTTATTGACATGGCCAGATGGAGCCATTACTTTTACAAAGACACATGGGTGTTTGGATTCCAAGATCCACATGGCATCTTCTAATTATTGGCCAGTTTTTCAGCAGTCCTGACAGTTTTAGGCTATGAATAGTGGCTTCTTTCACATGCAAACATATCTTATCCTGTTTCTCTGCTCTTTCTGAGTTGAAGTCAGCTTTTAAAACAGACATTATCTGGGGATGCCTGGGTGGCTCAGTCAGTTAAGTGTTTGCCTTTGGCTCAGGTCATGATCCCAGGGTCCTGGGATCAAGTCCAGCATCGGGCTCCTTGCTCAGTGTGGAGCCTTCTTCTCCCTCAGCCTGCTGCTCCCTGTGTTTGTGCTCTGTCTCTGTCTCTCTCGGATATAAATAAAATCTTTTTTTTTTTTTTAAAAGGGACATTATCTGATTCCCTTTCTACTATTCATGATGGTGCTCCCAAAGTGAATGAATGAGCATCTATTCATTATTTACCTTTTACTTTTCTCACTTTATCTTATGCCTCTAGGTAGGATGAGATTAGACTGAAGAATGAGAAAAGGGGCCACCCTCATATATTCATTTGTTTATTCATTCATTCATTCATTCATTCTGCAGATATTTATTGAGTACCTACTCTGTGTCAAGTACTTTGCCTTCGAGGAGCACATAGTACAACAGGTGATAGATACAAGTGGTCTAGGAGCACTACATAGAGTCCCTTATTCAGCCTTGAGAATTAGAGAAGGTCTGTATATGAGTTAGCCTAGTGAAGGGGGAAGGAGATAGGGGAGAGTACCCAAGCAGAGAGCATTGTCTATGTAAATTCCAGAGAAGATGTCAATGATTTTTCAGAGGACTGCAATGATATTGGTATTACAGGAGTATAGAGTGCAGAGGTAGGTTTTTTATTGTCCAGTATTTGATTGTACAGTATTATTTCAACACACACACACACACACACACACACACACACACACACGCACCCTAGAATATCCTCCCTAGATAGGGAATATATTCTTGAGTCCACCATTGGCCCCACCCCTTTCCATTGTTCTACTCTATCCTGATTTATTTTATTATCTGCCCAACCCATGTAGGTGTTTGAGTTTGGGACCTTCTACCTCTGAACCTAGATAAAGATCAAGCTCAAACTATCTCGGTTGCCATTTCTGGTATGACAGGAAAGGAGACTAGCTTTTTGATGGGACTCTGAAGACCAACCCAATGAAAGATCTTACCCCAGAGATAAGACCAGGACAGTTACTCACATACATTAAAAGGAGGGTTCCCCTCCCCAGGGAGGAAAATGGAATATGATAACAAATATTTATTGAGATCCTATCATGTGCCAGGTACTATGCTAAGTTCTTTTATAATAGGCCTCTCTATAAAAGATGATAGTCATTTAAAAGATCACAGGTGCATGTATGACATTAAACTTATAATTTATAAAGTGATCTGATGCATCTCCAAATATCCTATATATGAGAATGTCACTTTCATGTGTAATGCAGTCAAATTTTCATCACTACTGAGGGTCAATTATGTGTTAGGTACTGGACTACAGTGGGGATACTGAACAGACAGGGTCACTGCCTTCTTCACTGCTGGGGACTTCCTCACAGCATGGACAATTGTCTCTGGTCCTTGGAGCTGTCAGCTTTGAGTCACCCTAGAACTAAAGGAAATTTTTGAAAAATATGTCAGGGTTTGTGATCTTGGTGAACTTTAACATATTTGTGTATTTAAGATTGATTTGGGTCAAGCCAACCCTTCTCCTGGGAAGGAAAATTGCAGCCATTAGGTAAGTCAATAGGAAACACCTCTGTTGGTGAATCAGGGGTGACATTATCTTCCTAGGACTTTCATATTGTTGGTTTAGGATTTTGAATACCTTGCTAAACTAACTTTAAAAAATAACTTCTTGGTCCTCACAATAGAAATTGAGCCAAAGCTGGTTTACATGTTCATACTGGCATTTGGCATGAGTCATGAGAAATGAGGATATTTATTTCCCCAGAAAGGAGGAGAATCTGAGTTAACTTTGAATCCCTCTCTGTGGCCCAACATAGTGCCTTAGGCAGACTGTTGCTCAATAAATATTTGCTAATCCAAAAGCCACTTAGCCAGAGATCTGTATCTACAAAGAAAGGTCTTCTTTGCCAATCTGTCAGAGGGCCTGCACTGTGGAACCGCCCTATATATTGGAACCTTTGCCCATGAGGAACTCTATCAGGGAGTCAGGAACTGGTTGGGTTTATATAACCTTCTGTTTGCCAGGTATGGCAACCAGGTAAAATTAGAATGTAGTAAGCCACCCTGAGCATAGATTTCTTCCTTCTCCCAGGCTCTACAGCTGGCCTGCTGGTCGTTCTCCCTGTTCACATCTGGGAAGCATCACTAAGCCCTAGTGAGAGAAGAATTCCAGTTGCAACATTCTGATCAGCGGCTGTGCTGGGGCAATGGAGGAAGGGCAGCCCCAGGCACAGAATGATGCAAGTTTGTGCATCTGATGACGGCTTCTGGGGGAAGCTGAGAACTGTAGGAAAGGCCCCACCAGAAGACCAGGAATCCCAAGTTAATGATTACAGTGCAGTAGAAGTAAGGACAAAAAAACGAGAGCTCATGGGAGAAACCGGGAGGACTTTGGTGAAGTTGAAAATGAGGCAGAGAGGGGATTCTGAATTGTAGGAAATTCCAAGAGGCAGGCTCATGTTCTGTTTGTGAAAAACCAAGTTCGGAATGACTGACCAGTGGTAAGCCAAGAGAAGATTCTGAAATATTCGGGAGCATCTGATAGCAAACGAAGGAGACTTTGAATTACCAATAGAAGAAAATGGAAAATCAAGGCAGTTTTGAGGAAGGGTAGCTTTGCAATCTTTACATAGAATATTTCAATTGACTACAATATTTAACAGGAGGGATCTATAGAAGCTGGTGTGAAGGCTGGATTAATGAGGTGGGCGGAGCAGGTTGCTCTGGTGTGGCTCAGATGCGGCTTTCAGACGGGGCAGAGCGTGGAGTTACGCAAATACAGTGGCTACCAAAAGCGGAGTAGCCCAGGCACCCAGCATGGCTGCTGAGCTCTCAGAGGTGGGTTTGGAAAGACATTTGTTCAGAGCATTGCTCAGAAGTGAGCTGGGCTCCCAGAAGCGCTGTAATTTCTTTAGATCATCTGATAGCTGTCTCCGATGTTTACCAGCTTCAGGGAGATCAGGCCATTGTGAATTTTTTTTTTTTTTTTTTTGTTTACCAGCTTCAGGGAGATCAGGCCATTGTGAATTTTTTTTTTTTTTTTTTCTGTAATAAAACTAGCCCCAGCCAACCAAACTGGGAACTTACTGCCTGAGCTGTTTTCCAACATGGTTTTGCTGGCAAAACCAGACAAGAGTGTTTCCTTTACTCTCAAGGGCCCTGTTTACACTGACTTTATTTTTACTGCCAGCTTTCAAGTGGGAAGAGGAAGATTCTATTTAAAGGTCAGCAGGTGAGCAGAAGGATCCCTCTCCTGCTATTCCTGGGGGTGCCTGTCCATGTGTGCATGCCTCTCTCTGTTTGTACCTTTGTGTGTGTGTGTGCGTGTGTGTGCGTGTGTGTGTGTGTGTGCTTTTCCACATGCAAGTTATTTGTGCCCTGATCTGATTGATGAGACCAGATCACTTGTTTGTAGGCATAATGGTGGGTGCCTGGCTGGTTGTTTGGCAGTTCCCTATTTGTTTATTGTAAAGAAGGTAAATCAGTCTGTGGGATTTTCTGGATTGGAGGGCAAGGAATATTTACTGTCAACAGGATAAGAACAAGGAGATATAAGATACTGGGCTGCAGGGTGCATCTAGTGTTGGGACAAGAGCATAAAAAGGCGGGGAAGAAGCCAACTACAGAGCATTTCTATCTTGAGATTTAAGTATCTGAGTGGGAAATACAACTTGGGAAAATTGCCTTTGGTCAAAGCACCCGTCAATAGAGCTAAATCGAGTCAAATTAAGTTGGACTCAAATTCAGTTTCAATTTCATCAACTCTCCTTTTTAAATTCCTTTTTTTTTTTTTTTTTAAATTCCCAAAAGATGACAGACAGATGCTCCCAATTTGGAAATGAGAGCTGGAGGGAAGAACTGAGAAGGCCAGTCTCTGGTCCATGTACACATTCTCAAAGAAATTTAGCACCAAGACTAACATTCTTGGGAAGCCAACCTGCAAGTATCCTCCACTGAGGGACAAACCAAGACATTGCTGCTCCATTGAGGACTGACCAACAAGCCATGAAATCCCTGACTGCAGGAGACTTGGAAGACTGCCTTATGACTAAGGTAAGGACCGGTACGGGTCTCTCCCACACTCCCACCCCATCCCTCCTGCCCCACCAACCTGGATTCAGAAGGGATGTCAGGCTGCTTCCAAAGATACATGAAAGGCTCCTCGGGAACCCAAGACCATCACCCATAAGAGTGTTTAGGGACTTAACCTTATTTCAGTCCTCTCTCTGAGATTCTAGTGCCAGAGGCCCTTTGGGTACAGACTGTGGAACAGAAAGTTAGAACGTGGGTTGGAACTCCATCTCTGCCATTGGTACTGGGTATGGTTATGAGGGAGGCACGGAACCTGCCTGAGCCTCAGCTTTCTTCTCTGTCAAATGGGGGTGATAATAGGGTCATTGAAAAAGAGTAAATGAAATTAAGAATGCCCTTTAGAAACTATAAAACTGCTAGATTTAAAAATATATATCACATATTTAGTATAAATCCATTAAGAGTTCATTGAATTTCTTCTTTAGAGAGTCATAGACTCTTAGAGTGTTAGAACTGGAAGGGACCTTACATATTATCTAACTTAATTCAGCCTTTCCATTTACTGATGAAGCTATTAAGGCACAGAGCCACCCGTAAAACCAGAACATTTAAAGTAAGATTAGGGACTTGTCTAAGATTAGGGACATGCCTTCATAAGTAAACAAAGCAGAGTTCATTATCACAGTGATAAGCTGATTTTGTAGGCAAACCACTTAGATAAATAGGGGAAACTTAAAGATGATAAAAATTACAGCC